CAGAGAAAGATATACAGAGCAGGCAGATGCAATTACTTTGATGGCGAGGTGGGTAGTTATTATTTTTTTAGTGCTCTTTTTTCCTTTTACAACATGTTTGGACCTTAAGGTGATATCAACTTACATAAAATTATTTTCACTTCAGATTGACAGAGTGTATTTAGATACCCCGACAAAGATTGCCATTATAGATCACGAGAAAAAGAGAACCTTTGAATTGAGGAAGGAAGGCATGCCAGATTCAGGTTATTGACAAATTCTCTTAGTATCAACCATGATCATGAGCTTTTTTCTTATGAATTTGAAAACTACCTGACATACAGTTTCTTATCTATTAATCCCTTGGCCTCATAAATTGTATTCTCTTTCTGTCTTACTATAATCTCTTCCTATATATTTACTTGGTATGCAGTTGTATGGAACCCTTGGGATAAGAAGGCCAAGGCTCTTTTGGATTTGGGAGATGAAGATTACAAAACCATGTTATGTGTGGATTCTGCTGCTATTGAGACCTCTATTATCTATGAACCCTTTGAAGAGTGGAGGGGCCGTCAAGAGCTCTCTACCGTGTCATCAAGTTATTGCAGTGGACAACTGGATCCACGTAAGGTCCTTTATGGCTTCTATTGACTTCATCCAGAGTATATGGAGATTCTCCTGCAGTCTATATATATTTTGTGTTAGATCCTGTATCATATAGATGCACTTGCTTGCTGTATATTATTATCTTTATTGACGTGTTAAAATTCCTAAAGATGGACAAAACCAGCTGCAAGTGATGGTTGATTATGTTTATATCAGTTAGCATTCGGGCTGTCACAATGTTGAACAACAGGAATATTTCAGTTTGTTGTCTCATTGTGATGGCCAGGATTGTATCGATGTTTCGAAATATTATAAAATGAGGGAGTTATGTTGCTATAACAGTCTGCCTAGAATTAAAATTTTCAGTTCATTGAAACCTTGAGTATTTCTTACAATGCATGAGAGAAGTTGCAAAGGAAAACACCACACCTAGAACAGTGAGGCAGCTAGGTTCACACTATTATCCTTCTTATTGAGCAACTCCTTGGTTACTTTGAAATAGATTAGGACCTTATTCACTTCACCTAACAAACTACTTTCATACGCGATTAAAAGAGAGAAAGCAGGGTCTTTCCGAAACTCTCTTTGGCATCCTTGTCAAAAACATCATCCCCCAGATACATGTGGATGAAGGCCCTGCAGAGAAGTTCATTCTCAACTTTGCTGACCATCTCATCCATAACTGCACTCATCAAACAAAACTTTCTATTAGATTTCTGTGTCTACTTTCTAGTTAATCTGAACCCGGGAACAAAATAACTCTTGCAATCATTGCAGTCTTTACCTTTTGTTTGGAGAGTGTATCCTGGAAGACGAGAAATCTCAATAACGGAACCAGGTGTTAGCTTTATGTTGTCTGATGCTTGACCCATGACCCTGTTATCAACACAGATGTCCATCATTGGAGTAAAGTTCCATATAATGCAAAACTAGAATATAGAATAGCTCTATGATTGTGATAGTTACTTATTTGCGAGTTCGTCATCCTTCTTTCCGCCAGTTAGCTTCTTTATGGAAGCTCCAAGACCTTCATCAAAGTTCTTCTTTACCATATTCATGGTAAGCCCAGAAAATACAATCACCAACCTCACTGTCAGCCCAAAATCACTGTCAATTACTGCCTGATACATTTCCTTTGAAGGTTTTGCTGGTGCTTTTCCAATTTTTGTCTTCAGGAGATCTTTCAGTTTCTCGTTATCTGTGTATATGCCTGCAAATCAAAGAAGTATATGGAGATTGCTCGTGACAAGATCCAAGCGAGGACAAGTAACATCAACTGATGCATACAAATTTTCTGATTGCTAACTTATTTTTATCAAGTATCAGATCACTGATTATGCCATTATCCTTATGCTTGTAGACAACCAAGCATGGTCTTATGCTCCCTGGCTGATTTTTCTTTAACACTTTGATTGATCAAGAGCCATGAAATTACAGATTAAATGCATTGCCCCTTCAAAAAGATCGTTATATGTTTGATAATATATCTAATGTGCTTGTTTTATGGGAAGATTACTGATGAGCTGCAGTTGGTATGAATTTGATGTCACTTTATGATCATGTTCATGCAACAGTAGATTAAAAACATGGGTAAACTGTATTTTTAACTCTGTGATTTGGTTTTACTGCAGTTCAAACCCAGTGATTCAAATATTTTACTTGCAAGTTGAGTAAAAGTAGTTTTTGATAGAATATAACCAAAGCCATATACTTTAATGCCCATGCCAAGCATGGACTTCTTCCTCATCCCAACACAACTCAGCTGCTTCCCATCACTCAACCTAACTGGGAAAGAAACTCCGGACTTTGGTTCAATCTCCGTAGGCACCTCCTCGTCCTGTGCCTCTTCCTTCTCTTGAGTTTTCTCATTGGTTGGCTCCTCAACAACCTTGGTTCCATTCTTGGAGTTCCCCTTCTCTTTTCCTGTTTCCCCATTTGCTTCCTTCGGAATCCCACATGTTTTCGACCCGTTTTCAACCATCTCGGGCTTGGCAGGAACAGTCTCAGCGGCAGTTGTTGCCATTTCTTCAGCTCACACAGGAAAAAGATAGAAAGAAAAAGTAGGTATAAGCGTTTGTGTATGGCTTGCAATGTGGGGAAAATGCAGGGGACTTATATAGACAGAAGCTATTAAAGGGAGGATAAGGAGCATTCAATTGGAATTATATATAGGTGGTATGTTGTGTTTTTTTTTTCTTTTGCCTACCTCGGTATGAGCATTTGATAAGGTGAAAGGTAATTGTACAAATGAATGTTATAGGCTCATTCAAAGTTTTTCTTTGTAATTCACACATATCAAGAACTTACCCTTTTCTGATTTTGACTTGTCTAATTCAGAATTTATATTGTTCATGTTGTTTGCTAAGATATCATCAAATTGCTCAATTTGTCTAGCTCGTGAAATATAAATTTGTACTTAAATTTGATCAAGGGTTTATCCAAATTTTGAGTTCATATAAATTTTTATATAGAATTAGAACAATATATTATAAATTTTCTTAAATTTTGATAGAATTTGATTTATACATTATTTTATTTCTGATTACAAACAATTTCTAAATCAGTTCAGATTTTAACATATTAAAAAGTATTTTTACTATTATTCTAGTTGAAACAAATTGTGATTTATAAAAAAAAGTCCAAAAAATTTTTATGTTTGTTTCGAATATATAATCTAAAACAAAGATTATAATATAGAATACAACAAAGTTGTTTGAAATTATCATTTATTATTATTACATTTATGTTTACATCATTTTTTTTAAAAAAATAAAGAAATTAAGTCAAAATTTTAACACGTTAAAATTATTTCAACTAAAGAAATTTAAATATTATATCTATATCATTTTAATAGTATTAATAAGATTATATTCATATATTTTCTTCGTGCAAAATATAACAAGCATTAAATTCTGAATATCTATTTAAGATTAGAATAATCTTATTCAACGCAATGTAAATAGTGTTTATACCATTCATTTTTTCCATTAACTAATAGTTGGAAAATCAACTTCTAAAATAACACGAACGAATCCCACGACGAGCAAGCATAATCTTTCGTAGGCATGTTCGTTTAGGAGAGAAAATGATGAGCTATGATAATTTTTTTTATAAAATTATTTTTATTTAATGTATTTTACCTACCCTTGAAGCTTCATTAATACATTAACGAGTTAAATTTTTTATTCTACTTAATCAAATATTATAAAATAACTATCGTCAGTTGAAAAAATATATATTTATTATTTATCAAACACATTCAAAATTTTTAAAACTGTAGCGACCCCGGAAATTTAAAATGAAGTGTATATTAAAAATATCAAATGCGGAAGCGAAGTCAAAAATTAGATTAACATCCCTTACACTAAAATAAAAAACGTGCTCACAAAATATAAAAGATCAAACTACCTAAAGGAGAAACTTGAAAGTAAAAGCTACGAATATGTCTATGGAGTCTTCAGGCGTCCCCTTCGTCGTCCTCCTGCGGAACCGACTCGAGAACAATGTCTTTCTGATATGAAATGATTAAATAAGGAATGAGCTACACTAGCCCAGTAAGGACATTACGATATCTCACCGTCACGGAGGTAAAGGTGGGTAGAAAACACAAAAAGACCAATGAAGCATAATTTACAACAAATTCTTTTATCAATAATAAATCCTTCACCATCCACTTACCTCGGTGAAATTCATAAAACAGTATACGAAAGCAATAACGTTATCATCATCATGAAATCATATATAAACTGTATAACATAATACTTATCAAGCCTTTTGTAATTCAATCGCTACACATCATATTTTCCTCATTTACCAGCCCACTAGTATCCATGGGGATCCATAGGGGTCCCGCTACCCGTTAACCCTTAACACTTGAAATCAGATTCCAGGACCGTCCTCATACCCCGTCCGGTATGGACGCTAAAACTATAAACCTCATTACCCTGTCCGGTATGAGGGTGAAACGGGCCGTCCCCATACCCCGTCCGGTATGGGCGCCAAAACTCATAAGATCTCCATACCCCGTCCGGTATGGGAGACCACAATCCCGGTAGGGTTCCTTACGGACCCGGTCCGTCCACCATCTCCTAGGATATTTAGTCAGGCTGACCACATTATACAATTTTCCATTTACATAGTCTTTCATTCTCTTTTCCCTCAGTCAGCATTATCAATCCACACACAAACAAGCAAAACGGTAATTTATGCCAAACAGACAACATACAGCATCAATATCCCAGTCATTCAATCCATAATCAGTAAAACAGTAAAATATGCACACGAAACTATAAAATGAAAACATCAAACCTCATACTGCATTTAAAACTGTAAAACAGGCCAAATAACAGTTAACCGACAAACACACTAGACTCGGGCTCCATTAGCAACCTTAAGCAATTTTACACATTCGTTGATTCATGAAATACCGTTTTATCATTTATTGAACTTTAATACTGTGATAGGAAATAGGGTGAGGGGTCCTTACTCATTTCGGGGTCCCAACACGGCTTCACAGTGCGCCTACAGGCTGTCCCTAATTTTCCCTGAATTTTTTCCAGGGAACTGAAACGCACTACTGGTACCTGCACGTGTTCAAAAAAAATCCCAAATTAGGCCCGGGGCCCCTTTTTGGCCAATATCGCAATTCCAGCACGGCGGCTCCGCCGTGCTCCGGCGACGGCGCCGCCGCTTGCGGCGGCGATTCACCTCGGTTTGGCCGTTTTCGGCCACACTTGCATCGATTCTTGCGATAAAACAACCCTAGGGCCCTCGAGGGGCCAAAAAATTACGAAAAACCGAAGCTTACCGGCGGCGGTGCTCTCGGGTGCGGCGGCTCTCCAGTGAAGTTCATGTTTTGGTGATTCGGCTCCGATCAACCTGTAAAGAAAAGAACGGTGATCACGGTGATATAAAAATTGCATTAAACGGAGGCCGGGAAGGGCCTCATCGGAGGCAAAAACCGAGAAGGGGCACGGCGGCGCCGCTGGGTTTCGGCCGTATTTTCCGGCCGTTTTGCGGGGATTTTGGCTCCGATTTGGCCACAGGGAAAATCAGCGTGGAAAAACGAGTCGGGAGTATGAAATTTACCTCGATCGGCGGTCGAAAATCTCCCCGGTGCGGCGGCAGGTGGCGGCGGCCGGCGTCTGGTTCGTCTTCTCCGGCGAGGGCAGGCGGCTAGGGTTTTTGTGGTCTGGTGTGGGGAGTTCTATTTATACCCTTTTGCCTTTTGATCTCAGCCGTCCATTTTGTTTTAATCTGTGCCGTCCGTTTTTTGATTAAATCTGGGCCGTCCGTGCATTTTCATCTGGACCGTCCGCACGCACGCTTGATCTGGACCGTCCGATCGCGCGTACGCGGATCACCAACGTGGCCCGTTCCCGGTCGACGTGGTTTTGCCACGTGGCAGGTCCTGGTTGGCCGGAACTGCTGACTGTGTCTGCTTACGTGGCTTTTTTTTTTTTTCCTCTTCCAATTCCCGAACGTTACAAAAATAATATTTAAAAAAACTACCAAATACTTTTTCAAAGAGCTAGAATTAAAAAGAGACACTTCATTGCCAGATTTAATAGAAAATAATTGAAAGATAATTTCAATAAATTTAATAGTAAAAAAAAAATATTATGAATTACCACATGACCCAAATTATATCATTTTCTTTATAACAAAGCCCAGTTTTGTTTTCTTTACTGGGTCACTAAAAGACTCTTTTTCTCTTTGACCAAACAGAAAAGTCAAGCCTGGTTGACCTATATTATAAAGTCAACCCAATTGACCAACTATAAAGATCAAGAAGAAAAGCCCATTATAAAAAATGGGCTTGTTTGGGAAGCCCAATATGGCCGGCTAGGTTCACTTCTCATCGTCATCCCGAAGTCAAGAGCTGTATTTTCTTCTGAAAACCAGATATATTCATGGCCGACTAGATTAAACAGCTGAAAGAGTAGACGTTGCAGGAGAAGAATAGAGGATTTGAATAAAGCAGGGAGGTTCGGTTGAACACCCGAAATATCGGGACAGAGCTTGGAAAATACAGGTGAATTTTTGTTACCGTATAGTTTCTAGGGATTGTACTGATTTGAGATTAGATGGATTGAGAAACGACAATTGAACATGGAGTTTGACACAATGATGACAGAAATCATGGAGGGACAGAGTCGAAAGCGGAAGAGGACAAAACACCGGAAATCTCATAAACAAGAAAATAAGAAAATTTCACATGTTGAGGATGGAGGAAACCACAACGAAAAGCGTAAGAAAAAGGCCAAGCGCCACGGAGATAAACATCAAACTTCTGTTTCTGTCAAGCAGTCTAAACCCTCCAGTTTTCTCGATATGGTATCTTTCTCTGTAGTGGCTTCTATTTTGGGCTCTGAATTGTGTAGTGTAGGTGTATATTAGGTAGTTTGGTGTTAGGGTAAATGTCAGGTTTTGATTGGTAGGTTGACGTGTTGATATGTGATGCAGCTGCGTGCGAGATTAGCAGGAGGACATTTTAGGATGCTTAATGAAAAGCTTTATACTTGCAGGTTTTTTACTACCCTATTTCTTATTTACTTTTGGTTTTGTGTCTTCTCTGTTTGGATTCCTTTTATACTTGTTTGATTGCTAACACTCTGTTTGACTGCTGAGGAAGTTTTAGTGAAGGTTATGGAATTATTTGTTCCTAAATACTGTTCACCATTTGACCTAAATTGAGCTCAAGGCTCAAGAATTTTGTTGCAGTTTTAGTATCTGGGGTCGAGTAGTTTAAACTCAAAATGCTAAAAAATTTTATTCTTGTTCTTCAGCTTTTTTGTTTCTTAATGTTTTTTCATTTTCAACCCACAAAATCATAGAACTGATTCCAAGTTGTTATTGACAGTAAAAAGTTGTTTATGTGATCTATAATTTCTCTGGATGATTTATGGTATCTGCATGAATGGGTAATTACAGATGAATTCTTCATTCAATAATTTAAGACAATATTGATTCTTTTACTTTCTCCTTTTGTTTAGTGGAAAAGATGCACTTGAATACTTCAAAGAAGATCCAGAACTATTTGACATGGTAAGATGTCTTAGAGTTTCTTTTATTGGTAGTTAATAGTCTGTCTGCTGGCCCTTTTTTTCTCCTTGAGATTGTCTCAGTTACATTGGACTGCAATATGCATTGATATTTGAAGGCTTGGTTAAGATTTCTATTGCTGATAGCCTTGTATTATTTTGATAGATACTGTGTACCATGTGCTCCCTATCAAAATTTAAGAGAACTCACTGGTTCTTGCTGTATTTCTCATGGCCTATTAAACTGTGATGACCTCTAGATTAATTTGATAGGTGACCTGTGTCAGGCATGACACTCGTGGGTGTCCGATGCTTTTCTTTTCTTTTTTTTTTCTTTATATAAGGCTGTATTTTGTTATGTTTGACATTTTCTTAGCTTTCTTTAGGTTTATATTAATTTTATCATTTAATATCAAAATTCAAGTACCTGGGCCAATTTGGACTCTTATTAATCGTGTTCACATTTGTTTGCCTCTAAACATTGTGAAGTCAGATGCTTGGATCGATATCCATATCAGACAACTGTACTAAAGTCCAAGCGATGTAGATTTGACCTTAGGCTTAGTCTTCATAGACATATGTGTTTAAGCTTATGCTTTACCTATCCTTTCCGAAACTTCTTGGTGAGCCTACATCATAACCGTCAGTGGTGATTATCATTTTAGTTCTTGTATCTTCCTCTCGTTCTCTATATATGCAAATTGCCTTAATTTTTTCAAGACTCTGGCACTGGAATTGAACATTTCGGAATTATGATTATTTAGTTTACATTGCCAGTATCATGCAGGATATCAAGAGCAGATGTCACAGTGGCCTGAGCTACCAGTTAATATAATCATAAAATGGATAAAGAGCAAGAGTCCTTCCCTAGTAGTTGCTGATTTTGGCTGTGGTAAGGTTTTTCTCTGAACTTTTCCATTTCAAAATTGCAATTGTTATTCAAATTCCAAGAACTGATGAAGAAAATTGAGAGAAAAATATTCTTCAACTTCTTGATGATTGATTCACACATATATATACAAGTCTACTACCCTAACAACTTAACAAATTCTGGAGAAACTCTAACAAAATTCTGTTTCTAAGGACAAATTTATTGCAACAAATTTGTTGGTGATTCCATCCATTTACAGCACATAACAGTTGTAAATAACCATTTTTAATCCTAATTTATTCTTTTAATTATTATATTTTCTACACTCCCCCTCAATCTAGTTTACGTATATGTTGAGTAAATTTAGATTAGATATTATGTCATCAAAGGTTCTCTTGGGAAAAGCTTTAGTTAAAATATCTGCGATCTGTTGATTGGTTGAAATATGCATCAGAGTTATAGTCTCATCTTCTAATTTTTCTCTAATGAAATGATCATCAATCTCCACATCTTTAGTTCTATCGTGATGTACTAGATTTTTTGCCATACTAATTGTTGATTGGTTGTCGCACCATACTTTCATAGGCATATTGTTGATGACTTTTAATTCTTCAAGTATTCTCTTCAACTATACTCTTTCACAAATATCATGAGTAAGCGCTCTAAATTCAGATTCTGCACTGTTACGAGACACAACAGACTGTTTCTTGCTTCTCCAAGTAACCAGGTTACCCCAAACATAGGTACAATATCCTGATATAGATCTCCTGTCGTTTGTAGAACCTGCCCAATCCGCATCCGTGTAAATTTCAACACCTCTTCTGTCTGTTTTTTGAAAGAATAAACCTTGTCTTGGAGTTTTCTTGAGATATCTCAGAATCTGATACACAGCACTCATGTGATCTTCAGTTGGCTGATGCATGAACTGACTTACTGTACTTACTGCAAAATTGATGTCTGGTTTTGTGTGAGCTAAGTAAATAAGTTTCCCAACAAGTTTTTGGTATCTCTCTTTGTCAACCATTTTATCAGTGATTCTGGATTTAAGTTTGATGACTGAGTCCATAGGGGTGTCAGCAAGCTTGCTTCCTAGCATCGTAGTCTCTTTTAGGAGATCCAGAATGTACTTTCGTTGAGAAATTGAAATCGTCCTTTTTGATCTAGCCACTTCTATACCGATGAAGTATTTTAGTATTCCAAGATCTTTTATTTCAAATTCTTTGGTCAGAAATTCTTCAAGTTTCTGAATCTTCTCAAGGTGATCTCCTGTAAGAATGATATCATCAACATATACAATCAAAATAGCATTTTTTCCTGATATGCAATGTTTGACGAACAATGTTGTATGGTCGGATTGACATTGTTTATATCCTTTATGTTTTACAGCTCTTGTGAATCTGTCAAACCATGCTCTTGGAGATTGTTTTAGGTCATAGAGTGATTTCTTCAATTTATACACTTTCTAAGAGTTGTTAGTTAATTCGAACCCTTGTGATATATTCATATACACTTCTTCCAAATCGCCATTAAAGAATGCATTTTTTACATTTAATTGATACAGTGGCCAGTCAAAGTTAGATGCAAGTGAGAGGAGTACCCAAATAGTATTGTACTTGGCAACTGGTGTAAACGTCTCCTGATAATCTACACCATATGATTGTGTATAGCCTTTGGCTATCAGGCGAGCCTTAAGTCTGTTCACACTCCCATCTGGATTATATTTGGTTGTAAAAATCCATTTGCGTTCCACTTGACGCTTTCCTGGTGGAAGATCAGTTAGTTCCCATGTCTCATTCTTTTCAAGTGCCCTAATCTCATCTAGGACAGTTAACTTCCATTTTGGAATTTTCAAGGCCTCATGTATTGTTCTGGGTTCAGGTGAACTGTTGTCTATCCTGCACACAAAAACATGATGTTCCGAGGATAATTTGTCCAATGAAACATAGTCTTGTATAGGATGTTTGGTGCATGTTCGAGTCTATTACCCTAACAACCTAACAAATTCTGGAGAAAACCTAACAAAATTCTGTTTCTAAGAACAAATTTATTACAACAAATTTGTTGATGATTCCCTCCATTTACAGCACATAACAATTGTAAATAACCATTTTTAATCCTAATTTACTTTTTTAATTATTTTATTTTCTACAGATTCACTGTCTAGCTTTCTTTTAGTCAAAATGATTTTGCTGTGTTGTCTTCCAGGGAATGCACCTCTTGCTAAAAGTGTGAAGAATAAAGTTTTCTCATTCGATCTCGTCTCAAAGGATCCTTCAGTAATTGCTTGTGACATGTCAAATGTATGTAGTACCAGTGGCATATTCAGTAATTGCTTGTGACATGTCAAATGTATGTAGTACCAGTGGCATTGTATTTCATGTTTCTTAAGTGCAATAGTTCTCCTTTGCAGATTAGTTACTGTTTTTCTGTGATCAACTACTATTGAAAATATTATCAATTTAACATTTTAAGTTTGTACTATTAGAAATATTAAAAACCAAAAAATAGAGTATCGAATTGTTACTTAAAGAGAAAAAAAAGTCAGGGATAAATTGCAATCAGGCCAAACAACAAGGAATGAGACTGTACTTCATCCTAATTTTAGATTTAATATTAAAAGAGGTGCTATAAAATATAAAATATTAGTAAGAGTCTTTACTTGCAGGGTCTGACAAGCCCACACTAAACCTTTTATTCTTGAGTGCAAGAGGCCATTACCATGAATCTTTTGTTTTTTACTTGCAGACACCTCTCAATTCTTCATCTGTGGATGTCGCTGTCTTTTGCCTTTCATTAATGGGAACCAACTATTCGAGTTACTTACAAGAAGCACACAGAGTCCTCAAGCCAAGGTTTTTAATTTGCCTAATATTTATGCTTATAATTGATATTCAATCTCATAGTCTTACTCAATGTCAATTTCGACAGCGGTTGGCTTCTAATAGCAGAGGTAAAGAGTAGATTTGATCCAAATACCGGAGGAGCAGATCCAAAAGCATTTGCAAGAGCTGTTTGTGACCTAGGGTTTACTTCAGTGTTTCAGGTCATCTTTGGTTCCTATAACTTGCATCAGTAACTCGGTCCCTTTATCAAACTAATGGATATGCATTTACTTGCAGGATTTCTCAAATAAGATGTTCATTTTATTACATTTTCAAAAAAAGGTAGGCATTCATTATTATCAGTTTTGATTTTTACAGAACTTTTGTATTTAGATATCTAAAATTCCCTTGTGCTTTTATCAACTGTATGGTACATTTCTACTTGTAACAATATGCACCGTGCAGCCTCGCATAATACCAATTAACATTTCCAATTTAAAAGTTATATTAGTTTTAACTTTGTTCTGTGCTCGACACTCTTAGCAATAGATAATGACTTGTAAATAGACATTTTAGTCTGAAAATTCATTTAGTTCCCTCGCACAGTCATGTCTCCTTTCTGCATGTTTATCAGCAACGTCATTCTTCAACTTTGTTTAGGTTAATCTGTGACCAAAATCGCCTCGTACCCTAAGATGTTAAAACTAATAGAATATTTAAAGGAAATTAGTTATTTTGTATTAGTCTTATAGTTTAGGGTGTATATTACTATGATTGAAAGTACATTGGGGAGTTTAATAAAAATGCATAGAAAATATTTTATACTATTTCTTGATAGAATGCCCACAAATGATGAACAAATCTTTGATTCTACAGGAGAAGCAAAGCTCAAAGAAGGAGATCAAATGGCCTGAGTTGAAACCTTGTTTATACAAGCGTAGGTAAGTCTTCGAGAGACTTGCTAGGTTTATGCTGCCTTTAGTGTGAGTCTGCTTTGATGTATAACATCCCGGAATACAATAATGATCTTGAGACTTCCGTTTTGCGAAGTTATTAATTATAGATAAATTTTCGATTAGGTTCCTATAGACACGTTTGATTATAAACGAAATATTTTTATAGAAGTTTTTGCAGAAATTGTTTATGTTGCTTGATCTTGTTGAAAGTCTTTGTACTGCTAATTAGCAGGGCCATAAAGAAAGTAACATTTCATATTTTATGTCTAATTTATAATTTAGTGAAATATAAATTTAAGTATTCTTTTAAAAATTATTTATATTTTTCTGAACATTAAAATAATTTTTTTAAAAGAAAAAAAAAAAAAAAAAGAGACCTGCTAAGGACAATTATATGTGGTGGATTAAAGCTGCAAGATGTCACGGCAATCTCTAACTACTCCGTTCCTTTCTCATCACTTGCAGTATCTATAGGTCATGTGCGTGCCAACACCCAAAAATGCACATACACATATATATATATATATATATATATATATATAGTTGAGGAATAACAAAGTAATTATATAATTCGAGCTTAACAAAATTCTGATTATATATATGTTGGTGTCGGCTCTATGAATTTGGCTTTGGATGAATGACGTGCAATTTTGTCCCACCTCGATTAGATTAAAAAGACCATACCGTTGTGAAGAGATGTTTTTTGAACATTATACCAAGAAACAGAAAAAAGATGAAGATCATATAATATGACGATCCTGATCAAGCCTAAGAAGTTTATGGTGCGCTTAACGAGTAAGACAATCCTCAAATATTAGAAGAAGAAGATTTGTAATTATATTTATTAATATTTAACAAACAATAACAACGTTATTCCTAACGCAATGTTCTGGCTGTTAAAATTTTTATACTTTATTCGAATATTACGAGTTTAAATATCATTGATGATATAGAATTCGTTATTTTGTTTTATTGTTATTTATTGTATTATCAACTAATATCGATCGAGATATATTATTTGGTTTAGTAAATTGTTTACTTCATTAAAAATTACGAGTTTAAATTTAACTGAGAATATAAAACTTCGTTATTTTATGAGTGTATTATCAATTGACGCCAACTAGTATAGTACTTGAGATTCAACGAGATCAGTTATTTAATTTTATTGGTATATTTGTAAGAGACGTGATAAACAAGTCACTGAAATTCGGCGAAACTAATTACTTAATTCATTAGTGTATTTATAAGGGTTGCGGTGATAAATTTAGTTTAATCCCGAAAAATCATAACATATAAAGATAAAGATAATATTTTGTGTAGGTTAAATTTCTTTAACCGGAATAGTCATAATAATAAAGATATATTAGTAAGTAAATAAAAAAAAAACAAAAAAAATAATATCAAGCATAACGTGTACGGAAGAAATGGTAGGCGCGAATAATTTATTACCCGTAAATAAAACCAGAATCTTAATGGTTTTGGGAAAAGTATAAGACTTTGGTAGCCGTCCGATTTGATCACCAACCATGATTGAAGAAGAATTTCGGTCAACGACGGGTGAGACGCCAATCCACCGGCTACGACCACTTCAGACTCAAAAATTCAAACCAAACAAAAAAAAAAGTCAACATTCTGGAATAAAAATTAATTAAATAATTACGTATTTGTTGATAATATCATGAGGTAGTCCACAGCGGATCCTTACACCCCCTTTTTTTCTTCTCTGGGCTCCACCTAAACCCTTTCTGCCCAATTTTTATACTCACCGACACTTATTTTAAGGCCCACATCCTTTTATTTGGTAAAGCCTTTTTGTTAAATGTCATAATTAATAATTAATGTTAAAATAATGACAAAATTATGTTATAATATATATTATAATTAACTACTCTAATTATTTTTATCTATTGTGGTAAAAAAAATAAAAATAAAGTTTGGAAGATGAATTGTAGAATTTTTTTAAAAAAATTATTATTATTATTTTATAAACTATATATATTTTGGATAATTTTCAATCTTTTAATTTTAGTATCAAAACTATAGAAACTTATTATAAATTAATCTAACTATCCTTTATTATGATATTTTTTTAATCTATCAAAATTATTATAATGAAGTACAATTTTTTATATTTTTAAGACCTAATTATAAATAAAAAAATTAATTATATTACTATTATATTAGTTTTTCTCTTTAATTATTTTTTAAAAAATTAAAATTTTTGAAATTAAATAAATTATTGCATGGGGTCGGTCAAATTTTCGATTGTTTGGAGGCTTTCAATATGTGAATGAGAGTCAAAAAAGTTGACATCTATTTTTGTATTAAAATAATTATTTTTTTTAGTCCAATAATTAAATACATCAAATAATTTGGTTTGAAATAAAATAAATAAGATTTTACTTTATTTTACTTTATTTTTAATTTATGTTATATTCTTATGTTTAATTATTATTAAAAATATTTTAACATCTACAACAAGATAAAAACAATCAAATTATGATAAATAATTTATGTTTAGGATGAATCAAGTTTCACTTTGTGTTAATTTTTCAAATTGTAGTTTTAATTTTGTAATTTTTTTTAGACTAATTTAATAAAATATAAGTTGATATTTTATTATTTATCAAATAATTTTAAATTTATGCGATTATTAATAAAATTATTTAATAAATTTTATTTATTTATAAATTTCATTAATTATTATTATTTATTTCATTTATCCACATAGGAAGAATGTTTATATATTTCTCTAATTTAAATATTATAATATTTTATTTACATTAACTATTAGTTCATTTAACAATTTATTAGTAAATAATGAGTATTATAACAATCTTTTTTTTTTGTTAAATTAATACTTGAGCTACCCATTAAGCTAAAGGGTATACAATAATTTATGAGAAAAACAAATTTTATTAAATTTTAAAAATTAAATATTTGTTATATATATTATGTAAAGTTCCGTAAATTTTAATAAAATAAAGTCATAAATTAAATGAGAATGCGAAATAATATAATTATGATTTATATTCCTTACACAATAATTTAAAATACCCAATAAGAATACGAGAATATTCTTTATAAAAAGAGTAACGAAAATCAAATATATAAACAAAAAGCAAATCACTAAGCATCATATGACGACCTTACTAACTTTTGAAAAGAGTCCGGATGGTGAACTATTCGCAACTCTCTTATTGATCGGAATTTAGATATTTGTCATTTTGATATGAAATAATTAATGAAGATGTGAGTTATATTAATCTACTTATAATATCACACTAATCTCATATATAAAAAACTGAATATTATTAAAAATAAAAAAATCAATAGAGCTTTTAATTTAATGTAAATTTATTTACCATAAAAAAAGTTATTTATTTCATATTTGTGTAACAAGTCTCTTCGAACAATAACTTATAAAAATTCATATTTATGCACTATTATTTGTTATATATAAGATAACAAAAAATGATCACTTTACATTTTACCCACTTACCAATATCCCTTTATGTCTATAGGGATGTCCTCCTACTCGTGAACTAAATATATAATTAAACAATTAACCGACTGTCCCTATACCTCGTCTGGTATGGATGCTAAACATGTCACCACCTCAATACTTCGTCCGGTACGAGCATGAACTATATATCCCAAACTTTACTGGTAAGGAACTCTTCAGCTTCGTCTGACTGAAATAACGTTCACGGTAGGGTTCCTTATGTACCAGGCCCGTCCGTCCTTTCTCGGGTACCCAGTAAGTCTTTTCTATATAGATTTCCATCAGCATAACAATCAATCATATAATAACCATATCTCATTTTATATTCACAGTTCACTTAAACAGTAATACAGTTCAATACAATAAAATAACTAATGACTAAGATACCGACATGCAATACAGGGAAAACAAATAACAAAATAACAAAAAAGATCATAAAAATTATTAATTAAGTTATACACAGTATAACAGTAACTAAATATAGACAATATAGAAAAATAAACAAGAAATTGAAACAACTGTGAACTAATCGGTTCTGCTTATACTAGTGACCTGTAATTATTTTTAAGGTTCTCTAATTTTTTATAAAACACACAATTATTAATTATTAAGTCTTAAATTGCCGTAACAGAAAAAAATGTGAGGAATCCTTACCCGAATCGGTGTTTTGGAACGTCGTACTGTCTATTACGTTTTTTAATAGGTACCAGGTTTCTTGAATTATCTATGCGAAATTCAAAACACTTTTCATGTATCTAAAAATACCATAGGAATCCAAAATCGATGTAAAAAATCATTTCCGACCAATTTTCTGGTTCCAGCACGGTGGTAATGTCGTGTTCTAGTGACGACATCACCGCCTGCAGCAGCAGTTTTTCTCAATCTGGTTGGTTTTGACCGGCTTTATACATCTAATTGCGAAAAAATACGTTATGGGACCTCAATTGGTCGAAAAAAAAAATCAAAAAACATAAACCTACCAGTGGTGGAGTTTTATGGGTGCGGCGGCTTCGCTGGCTCACATTCACGGCTGGGATGTTTTATTCGGTCAATTAAAACAGAACGATGAATACAACGGTAAAAAAATCACGTGAAACGAGAATTGGGAAGAGGCTCGTCGGATGAGTTTTGGGACTTTGGCCGCCATGACTTCGTCAAGCTTCACTCGTAGTTTTCGACTTATTCGCTGTCCCTTTTACTCCGATTTGGCTATGGGGGTGCTCGAAATCAAATTTCAAGCAGGTATGAGAATTTTTACTTTTTTTAGCAGTCGGAGGTGGCTCCGGTGCGGTGGCGGTCGGCAGTCGACTCCCTTCTCCGGCGAGAGATTAACTGTTAAGATTTGAGTTCAGTATGATGTAAAATATTTATACTCATATTGCGTTAATCTGGGTTATTCATCACGTTTGATCTCTACCGTTCGATTGCGTATAAGAAGGAAACGAATCTAGACTGTTCATCGTATTTGATATCGACTGTCTTATTACGTTTAAGGAATAAATGAATCTGAACCATTCATCGCGATTTAATTTTTACCGTCCGATTGCGTTTAAAATGGAAACAAATCCGGACAGTTCACGCGTGCGATATTGATCCTTGACCGTTCGATCGCGCGGCACACAGACCGTCTGCGTGGCAACGACATCAGCATGTCTTGCCACGCAGTGTGCTTCGGTTCGTCGGAATTGCTGACTGAAAAGTCCTACGTGGTAAAATTTTACTTATTGCACTCTGACTCATAGTTTTTAATTTTTCTTTTAAAAACATCTCCTAAATTTATTTTTTTCAAAATTATTTTTAATTTTATTAATAATCTATTTTTTTCAATAAACTCAACAAAATTTGAAATAAATTAAATTTAAAATATATTTTTTATATATTTAAAATATTAAAATTAATTTTAAACTAAATTCAGATCCGGATATTATATATTATATATACATATTTATTTTCGGGGTCCTAATTTAATTTTTTATTTATTTATTTACATTAAACAAAAAAGAGAGAGAGGGTGGAGGCTGGTTGACTCGATCGAGCTTAATGAGGCTGTCGGTGGTGTGGAGGTGGAGGAAGAGTAGAAAGATGCCTCAAAACCCTTTAAACATACGCCGACTCAAAAGTCAACGCTATGACGTCACGCCAAAATTAATAGAAAAATAATAAAAATAACAAAATTATTAAATTAGTTTAATATTTTTATATTTATTACAATTTTATCTTTAATAATTTTTGTTTAAAATTTAATCAATAACACCTTCTATCATATTAAGTTTTTTAAAATATTAATTTAATTAATTAATTTATAATTATATTTAAATTTTAACATTATTTTGACTAATTGATCTTTCAGTACGTTAGTTTCAATAACTCTCATTTTTTACTTTTCTTCTTAGATACTCCGAGTTGTAATACATATCTAGTCTACTGCTTTAGGTATTGATATGATGACTTTTAATTTAAATAGTTTTAATTTCCACTAGTCTGTAATTAATATTTAAGATTATATAATTAATATTTTAACTGTTATTATTAACTGTATTGACTTTGATATGAAAATCATATATGAATGTAATACTCACAATTTTTCTCTATACATAACTTATTTAAGACTAATATATAAATTGATAAGATAATTAAAGTATTATAGCAAATTTTTATTCAAAAAAATAAATAAGATAAAAAGATTTATCGAAATTGTAGCATTACAAAGAATAATCTTATGTCATCGAGTCTGTTCATATAAAATAATATAATTTGTAAATACGATTTTACTCTTATTCGAATAAAAACAAATAAATTACTTTCATAAAAATTATTATAAAATGGATAATAAATTATATAATTTATAAATAATACATTTTGTTTGTTTGGTATAAAATAAAATATATTAGAGAGCATGATTGATTAAAAAAAAATGAGACAATTATTATTATACAACATTAAATTAATAGTATTAATGAGAGTAGAATCATGGATGTATACATCTCCTCCATGACATGTTAGATTCTCACAATCCTTTCATATTTATATATATATATATATATGTATGCATATGATTTTTAGATATACAAATAAGTTTTATAATACAGAGTAAGTTGGCATCAAATGCCCACATCATAATTATTTTTTTATTCATCAATATATGCATAATTAAAAGAAAATAGAAAATTTAATTTAAAATAAATTATATTTATTATATAAATCAATTAAATCATTTGAATTTAAAAATGTATTAGATAAATTAATAAAATTTTAATTGAATAATTGATATATTTATTTATTTTTATAAAAGATTGTAAGGTGGAATGAAAAAAGAAAATATTAACAAAAATTATATTATGATAAATCGGTGTCTAATTAAAAAAATTTATAATTTTAAATTATATTTTATTTTTATTTTTGTTGAAAAAGACACTATGGCTGATGGAGACTTAGTTCCTTCCGCGGCTTTATCTGCAGCAGATCGGCAGAACGAATAGAGACTTGCAGAAGCCATACGCGGAAAGAAGAAAAAGAAGAAGAAGAAGAAGAAGAAGAAGAAGACGAAGAAGAAGCTTTAATTAATCTCTCAAACAAACTCCAAATCCCTCACCACTCCATTTCTCTGTCTGTCTCCATTAGTTCTAGTACTGTCAGCTTCTTCAACACCTCCTCTGTTGCTTTCTTCTGTTATATATATATATATACACACACATATATATATTCTATTCATTTCCCTTTGCCAATATCTCATTTAAAATTCAATCTGCTACTGACACGGCCTGGTTGGGTTCAGTCCATTTCCCCCATTTTTTTAATTCTCGTCTTGTTGGGTTGTGTCTCAAGAAGAACATGTGGGTCTTTATCTTTTGCCTCCCATTAATGGACACTCCTTGATTGCTTTGGATCTGCAGAGCGTGATTTTGGGTGATAAAAAACTCTTTGTTTACATACCTTTATTGGGTTCAAAATGGAGCATGTTGTTAATCTGCTATCATTCTCTTATGGGTACCATTTTGAATTTTTTCTTTAGTTTTACTAAACTAAGCTAGGGTTTTGCCATTCTACTTGCTTGTCAAACTTAGTTTTTTTCACTAAATTAGATGTGTTACTAGTTTGGTTGTTGAGGAGGGGGAATAAAATGGGATCTGGGAATGGATTCTACTCAGCTGAAGAGTTCAATTTGGAAGAAAAATGGCTGATTGATCCTAAGTTGCTCTTTGTTGGACCAAAGATTGGTGAAGGCGCTCATGCCAAGGTTTATGAGGGAAAGTAAGTTAAATTTTTTGGATTTCTAGCTTTTCATTTCTGGAATATCTTTATTCTTGCCCCCTGAATTTTGAGAGCTTGCTCAATTTGGGGTTTTTTCTTGCTGATTCAAGAAAAAAGGTTATGGGTTATCTTCTGATTTTTTGATTGGTGGGAAGGAGTTGTTGGGTTAGATTTCCAAAAGTGGTGCTGCCCTTCTGATCTTTTTTAATATGGGACTCTCTGCGGATATGAAAGTGAAAAAAATTTCAGTTTTGGGAATGATTTGGTTGTTTATGAGGGTAGAAAGTAACTGTTACACTCCTATTCTATCTGTATGGGATTTCCAATGTTTAGCAAATGCTTTGTTTGATCGATGATTGGTGTTTAACTTTCTGGACATATATGTAAATAGATGTATCTATGTGTATAAATATAAATAGAAAGGGTATTTGATCGTTTATGGTTTTGCTTCTCCTTCAGATACAATAATCAAACTGTTGCTGTTAAGGTTGTATATAGAGGAGAAACACCAGAAGAGATTGACAAGAGGGAAAAAAGATTTGCAAGAGAAGTTGCCATGTTATCTAGAGTTCAGCACAAAAATCTAGTGAAGGTAATTCAATTAGCACACCCACAAACACATACATACATATATATATATATATGTATATAATCACTAGCTTTTCTGTCTGATGATTGGCCATATTAGTTTTTTTCGGATGTCATAGTTGCATATGCAATATGATAAAAGAGAAAGATAAGAGGTCATTGATAAACCTCTTTGTGTACTGCCAGTTCATTGGAGCTTGCAAGGAACCGTATATGGTGATCGTAACTGAGCTCCTATTGGGTGGGACATTGCGAAAATACTTGCTGAATTTGAGGCCAAGGTGCTTGGACATGCGTGTGGCAGTTGGGTTTGCGCTTGATATTGCTCGGGCTATGGAGTGTTTACACTCCCATGGTATCATCCATCGTGACCTGAAACCCGGTATGATTTTGCTCGTGTACTGGTGTTTCTCTATATTGGAGCTAGGTTTGGTGTAAACTTCATGATTTAGTTGTTCGCTAAACCTGTAATCTTTGAGATTGTGGAAACATTCTTTAATTTTGTTGGGTATAGATCATCAAAGCCATTGCTTTACTCTCTGCTAGTTCTTGCCTACATGGTTGTTTCTGGTTCCCATCCCTTAGCATGGTTGGAGAGGGATTGCCACCGTGAATATAGTGTAAATAATTGTTCTAGATTGTTTTAACTGCATTCTCTCAAGTTCCATATCTGCTGCTAAAAGTGGCTTAGAAAGGAGGATGAAGTTCTAATATTCTTAACTGTCTGGGAATGTCTGGCTACAATTTTGGATTAGACTGATACTGGATGCAGATTTCAGTAACAGTTCCGCAGCTTCCATTTTTTTGGAAAAAAATCTTTGATTGATCCTTATATGATGCATAATTCATCTTCTTCAAGACACAGCTATGACATTATTAGTATATAAGCAATCGATTAGAACATTTCCCATGAGTTTAAATTTTTGGGGTAATTAGTCTCAATTAATTATCTATATGATATCTAGAGCCGGAAGTCCAGTTAGCCTGTGCATGATTCAGGCTTTTAGCCTGGTAGACTTTCTCGGGAGGGGGCATATTAAGATAAGATATAAATAGAAAATTAGGTCTTTTCTTATCATCTAAATTTTTTTGAAAAACTGATTGAAATCTATTATTTACTTACAAACATACCTGAAACTAGACCTCTCTGTATATCTTGTTTAATGATTTTAGCCTAGAATTTTTATGTACATGTTGAGTTAAATAGTGACATGGGCATATGATATTTGATACTTCTTACTGAACCATACAAAAGGATGTCCGTATTTGATACTTCTTGCGAGGAAGAATCAAGGATAAGTCTGATATTCATTCTGTTTTCCTGGGCAGAAAACTTGATCTTAACTGCAGACCACAGAACAGTTAAACTAGCAGATTTTGGTTTAGCCCGAGAAGAGACGTTGACAGAAATGATGACTGCTGAGACTGGGACATACCGTTGGATGGCCCCAGAGGTAAATTTAAAAAAAAATTATGGAGTTCAAGAATTTAGTTTTTATGGTAGCTGGTCATGTTATAGTATTTAATGTTCAACTTGCATTTTGCGGGCCAGCTTTACAGTACGGTAACACTTAGGCGAGGAGACAAAAAACATTACAATAATAAGGTGGATGCCTACAGCTTTGCAATCGTATTGTGGGAGCTCATCCACAATAAGTTACCTTTTGAAGGCATGTCAAATCTACAAGCAGCATATGCAGCTGCTTTTAAGGTATAGCGTATATCATTATACCAGCTTCTCTTCTTCTATACAGTTATTAAGCAAATAATATCTGAGAGGTGTTTTAATGTCTGTTTAGAATGTGAGGCCCAGTGCTGATAATCTCCCAGAGGATTTAGCTTTGATTGTGACTTCGTGTTGGAAAGAAGATCCAAATGATAGACCCAACTTCACGCAGATTATACATATGCTGCTTCACTACCTCTCTACTATATCACCACAACAGCCTGTCATCCCTGCCCGGATATTCTCTTCCGAGAATGCTGTGTTTCCGCCAGAGTCTCCTGGTACAAGTTCGTTAATGGCTGCAAGAGACGGGTCAGAGGAGATCCCGAAAACCAGCATGGAAGGCAAACCGGGAGGCTTCTTCTCGTGCTTTAACCAATGTTATTAACTCCTCCAAAGGCAGAATGCACCCTTGGAGGTACCCAAATATACTTTTTCTTTTTCCCTAAACAGGAATAAAATGGTTAGTTGCAAATATTACAGAATATATATTGGTAAGAAAATGTTCAGTGTACTTAGATTTAGATTTAGGCAGTCAGTCCAGGTGCTATATAGTAAGCTTCCTAGTCTAGTGTCTTATTTTGCTTTAGTCTGCTCTAACTAACATGGAACCTTTAGAATTTTTGGAGATGGGGTTTCTGTGATGTATTCTCATTGTAAAATAAGGTCCATCCAAAGGCTTCGCTCCCGGTTTTCAATTCGAACGACCCACTTGAATTTGCTTACGATACTTATGCATCGGTATTTGATTCTTCGTGTAGGTTTATCCAGTTCAGTTGGTAAGAAAGTGTGATTTCTGTATCGACTATTTGAGTTTAAGCTTGGTAGGTAGCTCCTAAATGTACTAAGTCAGATACATGGAAATGCAGTCTTAACATCAATAAAAAAAGATTTAGTCTTATCTTAACGTGCAAAAAACTGGTTCGAGAATAGTCTCTCATACTAACGAAGAGTATAATGAGACGAAGATGGATGATGTTTTTATCGGAAATGATATTCTCCGGCAAAATTCAGAGTTGGTGGATCAAATCTGTCAAAGCATGAGGAGAGTGTCAGTCTTACTTTCACAAGTTTTTTGGCGAATGTCACAGATGAATAGGCATAAACCTCGACTTAAAACTAGATGCACTTTGTTGCTTTTTTTGCTTGAATTTTTGGTACTTTCGCTTTTTATATAAATTCAAATCGGATTGTACTTTCTTGTATATTGATTAGTGTATACGTGTATTAGTTAATATAATATATGAATATTATAATTCTTATATGATAATAAAAAAGAACTTATATTTTCACAAATGTATTTATGTAAGTATTTTTTTATTTGCTAAAACAATAAACTCTCGAGATTTAATTAATAAAATTTAAATAAAATTAATTACGTCTACTAGTTAAGAATACTGAGTATTTATTCAAAGCACAAATTAAATTCAAAATAAATTTTTTATAAAAAATCATCCCAATTTATTATTATAATCAAAATATTTGAAAAATAAAATTTTTTTTCTATGAGAATTAATATATATATATATATGAATATTTTAATTCGGTTTCCAAAAATGTTTACTCAAAATTGGGTAAACTCCAGTTCACCAATCACTCTTCCTGTTTGGAATTTGGGCTGGTCTTACAGACACGGGCCGAAGCAACTTCGCTTAAAAAACAAATCGCCGTTGCCGGGGATCGAACCCGGGTCACCCGCGTGACAGGCGGGAATACTTACCACTATACTACAACGACCTTGTTGATTATATGTACATTTTTATTATCCATCTCATAGTGCCAATGCAAAAATGTATTAACGATTACATTATTTTATCTTAT